GGCCCCGAGAGGCCCCACACCCAAGACCGCCTCCAAGAGGCCTCTGAGAGACCTCCCAGGAGACCCCCCACTGGCAGCTCAGAGGCCTCTCGCCTGCAACCTGAGCAGGGCTCCAGGATGGGCCGGAAGGCCACCAGAAACAGCCATCGTGATCCAGCAGGGAGCGCCGACAGCAGCCCCGCGGCCGCACTCCGGCCCCGAGCGGGGCGGTGGCTCCTGCGGCGGCGCGCCCCGACAGGTGCTTCAGCGCGTAGCGGATGGCCACCCGCAGGTCGTCGCGCGCAGGGCCCCCAGGGCCGCAGCGCAGGCACACCTTGCCAGCGAGCACTGCCCATAAGACCAAGGCCCCCAACGCATGGGAAAAAGCAGACGGAGATATGCTGCAATGTTCGGCCTCTGGAGGACGTCGCTGGGCCCCGGGACCATCGAGAAACGACTCGGGACGAAAAACCGGCCCTGGGGAAAGGATCGCAACTTCGGGGGACCCGCATTGCAACAACAAAAAAACAAAAAACTAAACAAAAAACTAAACAAAAAATCTTAGATCACCGCGGGAGGGGCTTAGTGGATAGGGGGCTACGTATGGATGTGAAGGTGGAAAATATCTGGCCTGAGCTAGCTTTACATACGGGCTCCAAGTGCCACAGATGGTCCAAGGGGGAAATGTCTGGGCCAAGCGCCCCCCCACTTAGTGGAGCTTTCTAACGCCTCCTGGGCCGCTTAGGGCACTTGCAACCCACTTCTACGCTGCTTCAGGCCAGATAGAAACCACCTTGGCATCCACTGGTAAGCCCATCCTCTTAGCAACCCCCGAGGTGATCCAAGTAGTGCTGCCCAGGGGATCGGAGATGATCGGAGGAGGGCCAGCCGAGGCAACAGCGGCCCTTCCTGGCGCCCTTCGTCCCGATGTGGGACTCCCGGAGGCTCCTCGGCGCCACGGCCGGATCCGAGTCTGAGAGCGGGTCAGCATGGGCCCCAGGAGGAGTCCGGGGCTCGCTTTTGAGCCGATCTGGACTGGTCGGGAAGCCCGCCGTTGTCTCAACCGAACATCCTCCGAGAGGAGAGGAAGGAAGAGGAAGGGGAAGAGAGAAAGACAAGACAAGACAAGACACTCCCGCGCGTGGGCACCGGTGCTGCGGGCGTGGCGCCAGAGCGCCTCTCTGCGTGGCGATCTTCACAACATGGGAAATCTTAGAAGAGGAGGAAGTGAAAGAAGAGGAGGAGGAAGAGGAGGAGATAATGAGCTATACGCTTGGTCCGCTCAGGTCACGGTGTCGGACGAAACCTGCTTCCAGTCTATCCCAATCTTCAGTTGATGCGATCTGTATAATATCGGCAATTCCGATCTCACGCCCCAAACTGTGCCCAAGATAGCTCCTTATGTCGTCACCCCATCTGGTTTCGGGTCGTCCATTTTTGCGCTTCGCCGTGTAGACTTCTTCGTGTTGTGGGCTCCACTGGATCACTTGCCGTGTCCATTCCCGCTCGCCTGTAGCACTCAGCTTCTGTATCCACTTCCATTTTCGTTGGCATACGGTGGACACCCAACTGCTGATACGTAATCTGGTTGTTGCCGCTTCAGCTTTTTGTGTCGCCCTTTTGATACATCTACCCAAGGTTCCAAAAATTCTGCCGTTTCTTCCTCATCATCTGCAGGTGATGTAGGTTCTGGCTGCACACTGCCCACATCACAACCATCGTCATCGTCGTCGCTGTCGAAGCTCTGGTGGTCGTTCTGACTGAGTGTCTGCTTTCAAAGCGGTTGCTGTGTTGCTTGTGTAGTGGTCTGTGTGGATCTACGCCTCGGTACTCGCACAATCATACGAAGCATTTGTCGCTGTGTTCGCTGGAGTCGGTTTTTCCAAGTCAGCTGTTCTTGTCCAAGCCTCGCAACCGTACAGGCTAGTAGGTGTGATAGCGCCGCTGAGGAGGCGTAGTCGGTCAGATTGTGAGTATGTGGCCCAGTCAGTTCCTGTTTCAAGGCGTGGAATTTCCGCCATGCTGTGGCAATGCGGTGTTCTACTTCGGCTGAATGGGGTGTAGAGTATTGTAGCTGTCGCCCCAGGTACTTGGTAGCACGGTAAGGCGGGAGGATCTCGATCCCCATGCCGAGCACCTGCACGTTGACTGGAGCATGCTTGCCGCGCGGTGGTCGGTAACCATTGTGTAAAGTCTTGGTTTTATCTGGGTGAAGCTCCAGGCCCGCCTTCCCCGCTTCGGTAATGAGGTCGGTAAGCATGTGCGCGATGTGATTCAGAGACCCGGCGAATAGAATAATGTCGTCGGCAAAGCGTAAGGTGGTGAGCCGGGGTCGTTAGCGTGCAGTTGGAGCTTGAATCCGAAATCTCTTGTTGCCCATGTCGCTTTTGCTCGTCGCATGATGCTCTCGGACACGCTGTTGCAGAGTAGTGAGGTGAGGGGGTCACCCTTCGTGCCTCGGAGGACGTTGAATGGCCTGCTCTGGCGGTCTGTGTGTACTGAACCTGTCTGCTCCTGGTAAAGTTTCGACAGCAATGTGATGTACGACTTGGGCGTATTTTGCTCGGCAAGTGCCCTCCAAATTCTCGTATGTGTGATGCTGTCAAATGCTTTCTTGGAGTCTACGGCTGCCGACCATACGGGGATTTGCCATTCGTCTGCAACTTCCTGTAATATGGCTGTCGTGAGCAAGTGGTCAGTAGTGCTTCGGTGGGGTCGGAAGCCTGCCTTGTCGGCGCTCTGGCTGCTGTCTAATAGCGGTTGTAATCGGTTGTAGATAAGCCGCGAAAACAACTTGTACAACATGGGAATGGGAACGATTGGTCGGTAGTTCTTCGGCTGTTGCGGGTCCCCGCTTTTGTGGAGCACGTTCATCAATGTGTGCCGCCAGTTGGTCAGTGTCGGTGAGCACGGCAGGATAATGTCGTTATACATACCTAAGAGCACGGAACGAAGCGCATGCACTCCAGATTTCAGCATTTCAGAAGATATTCCAGAGACGTCCTCTGTTTGTCCGCAGTTGGCGCAAGGCTGTTTCAAGCTCGTCGCGTGTGAACTGTGGGATGGCGCATTGCTGCGCGGCGTTATGGGAAGAGAGAATCGCATAAGAAAAAGACGGGGCGGAGGAGGAGAGAGGGAAAGAGAACGAGGACAGTGGCCATGAATGAACGCGGAGACGTCGGCGTCGATCTTGATCATCGTCCATCTTGGTCATCGTCTATGTGTGAACCATCCTCGCGAATCGGTGACGGCCAGCATGGATCATGACCAAAATCGGCGTAGACAAGATCCCGCGACATCTTGGTCATGATCACCGCGTCTCTCACTGGAACCCTCTGGGGTCCGCTCGCTTCGGAGAATCAAGCACGTCTGGCACAAGTCTGCAGACGTCTGAGGTCATCTGCAGAAGTCTGCAGCAATATGGCGGATTCCTTCGGCAGCCCGTGGAAGTCTGCAGAATTCATCGGCGGTACGTAACATGATGCAACGTCTCGAATCTCAGTTGCTCCATGGCACAGCTGCAACAGAACCCTCGAAACCACCCGATGGATCTTCCCTCGAGAGGATGAGGAAGACAAGGACGAGAAAGAAGATGATGATAAGCAGCAGCAACAGCAGCAGCAGAACGACCGACAGCAAAATCCGCCGACCCTGGTGGGTCTACAGCCGTGCGAGCTTCTTCCCCCCCCATAATCCCCCCCAGGGACCCAAAACTGGGAATTCGACCCCAACCTGGCCTGATACGACCCCCCGGGAACTCATCCGGGGGGAGGGGTCTGGCCCTTCCTGGGCTCCTCCTGTGGCCCCAAGACGGCCCTGAGAGCCCCAAGACGGCCCAAGAGAGCCCAGACAGAGTGCCAGCAAGGTCCATCAGAGCGCCGAGACGCCCCACGAAGCCCCCAAGACGGCTCCAGAGTGCTCCCGGAGGACCGCCCAAGGGGCCCCAAAATCGAAAAAAACGTCCCATTCCCGTCGGAAGACATACATTTTGACCATACTGGTCTCCTTCGTCTTGACAGCGTCCTGGACGGCCAGAGGGGTCCCCACTGTCGCCCCAAGACAACCCATGACGCCCCCGAGAGAGCCCCGAAACGTCCCAGGAGGCCCCCACGGTGGCCCGATGCCGGCCCACAGGAGCCCCCACAGAGTCCCAAGAGTGGAAATACGACCCCACAGAGGACGGGACACCTCGGACACCAGCGAGCGGAGATCCCTCGAGAGAGCTCCGGACAGCCGAGCCACGCCCCAGGATGGTGTTTTTGTTTCGGCCGCGGCCTAGGGCCCAGGGCCGCCGATCGCCCGCGAGAGGCCCACGGCTGCCGCCTCAGGAGGCGCCAGCAGGCTCGCCCGTGGCTGCAGGGCACATGGCCGGCTGTTGCCAGGAGGTGTCCCTGGCCCAAGGTGTCCCCAGGATGCCCAAGGTGGCCCCCACGGCCTCCAGAGCACCCCCGCGAGGCCCCAGAGGGACCCAGGGGCCCCAGTGGAGCGAAAAGCTGAGGACACCCTGGCCCAGGGACACCTTTCGCAACCCCCGAACACGCTCCCTGCACCATCCTCCCGGACCAGAGACGGCGTTTGGAGTGCAGCTCGACCGCTGGGTGTTTCTGATCCGCTGGCGGCAACCAATCTACAGCGCGCGACATCACAAATGCACACACCCCAACTGGCCACGATGCCGAAACCAGCCGCGCGGAGTCGACAGGAGTCTGATCCTGAGACGTTGAAGACTCGCCTAACCCTAGTTGAACATCCGAAAGGCGAAAGGGCACCGCATAGCATACAGGCCCAAGAGTCCCCCCCCCCGCAAAAGTTCGCTGCCCAGCAAAAAGGAGCCTGGCCGAAACCAAAGAATGCCGGCACCTGTAAGAAAGGTGAGACTTGCAAAACGGAGCGTCGCTACCATCCTCGCCAACAGCCCGAACAGCCTGCAACGGACGACTCGCTCGGCCGCTGCCGGCTCTCTCCGAGAGGGCGCAAAACTGCCCCGCGGCACCGGCTGCACACAAGGCGTGCGCGCTGCTCTAGAGCTTCGAGAACTGCACGCCCTTGGCGTACTCCAGACCGGCATCGATCTCCTCCTTGAGGACCGGCGTCATCTCCTCGAGGCGTCTCCTCTCGTGCTCGGACAGCGATCCTGGGACGGGGTGGATCTTCTCGACGCCGTTCCTCCCGAACGTCACCGTAGAGGCGAAGAACGAGAGGTCACCGTGCACCGACGACTTCACGTACGCGCACTCCGTCGTCGGCTTGCCCGCGAGGCCCATCAGCACCGCCTTGCCCAGGCGCGCGCCCGCGTAGGCCATGGACAGCGTCGCGCTGCCCTTGCCGTTCTTCTCCTTGACAACTTCTGTGCCAGCATCCTGAACTCTCCTGTCCAAATCTGGGATCTGATCGGCAGGGATTAGCCTGCCGGCTGGGTCCTGGGAGAACAGCGGCAAGATCGTCGTACCCGCGTGACCACCAATGACAGGAATCTCCGCTGGCTTGCCCGTGATCTCGGTCACGAACTTGTTCGCGCGCACCACGTCCAGAGTGGTGACCCCCACGATCTTGCAGGGGTCGAGGCCAGCCTTCTCCCAGAGCGCGCACATGGCGGGCACAACGGAGTTCACCGGATTGACTATGAGGGCAACTACGGCCTTCGGGGCATGCTTGGCGACCGCCTCAACGGTGCCCTTTGCGATGTCGGCGTTGACCTTCAGCAGGTCCTTGCGGTCCTGGCCCGGCTTCCTGGGCATGCCGGCGGGTACCAGGACGAGGTCGCAGCCCGTCAGGACGTCGCCGGCCTTGTCGATGGCCTTGTCCACGTTCACTTCCAGCGTCAAGGAGACCACCTTGCACTTACCCTCCAGGTGCGAGAGGTCCTTGGCGACGCCGGCCGCGGGCACCATGGCGACGTTGAGGTCGATAATGACCAGCTCGCTGACCTTGGGGTCCAAGGACATGAGAAGCGCCAGAGGCTGGCCGATGCCACCAGCGCCACCGACCACCGCCACCTTGAAGCCACCCTCGGTCGACATCCTTCAGCGAGCGTACAATGCGCTGGGCGCTGGGAAGCCAGCGGAGGCGAGATGTGTCGGGCAAAATCGATCGCAAACTATTCGAGCCAGGACTGCAGAAGAGCCGCGTGTGCCGTTTATGGTCAGCGCCGCGCTGAACCGCGCCCCATTCGTGCATGAGCTCCCCAGAAGGAACCTACAGTAGATATGATGTCAGCGCGTGAATGCAAAATCATTCAATTCGTGCAACAAGTGTGGAACTCTGTGTGCGTGCGTGTAGGACCCCATGCGAGTGGAACTGAATGAGTGTAGAGCTTTCAGTGCGTGTGCGTGTGCGCGTGTGTGTGTGTGTGTGCGGAACCCTATGTGTGGAACCCATCGTGTGTGGAACCCTGTGTGTGGTGGGGACCCTATGTAGGTGTGAACCCTGTGTGTCCAGAACCATATGTATGTGTGGAACCCATTGTGGAATCCTGCAGGTGTGAAGCCCGAACCTGCGTCCAAAATCAATGTTCACACCGACGTCCAAAACCACGCCTAAACCCAAGCCACGCCCAAACCCACGTCCAAACCCACTCCCAAGCCCACGCCCAAATCCACGCTCAAACCCACGTCCAAACGCACGTCCAGACGCGCGTCCAAGCCCACGTCCATACGCACGTCCAAACCCAGCGACAGCGGCCACAGTGTCTGCAACCCCAGAGGGCGGCGCTGGTCCAGACCCCGCCACAACTGGCCAGTTACTTAGACCAAGCAGTGCGTAGGAGACATACGGTACGTGCCAGGAAAGAATACAAAGGCACTTGTTTGTTCAAGCGAAGCACTTCGGAGGCCGCCCCTGAGTTCAGAGAAATCCGCGGGTTCCTGGTACCATCGGGGAACATCAAGATCTCATAGGGGCGCGTGCTGGCAGGCCGCCTTCTTCATGAATTGATCCGCCTACTGTATACTCCTGTTGCTCTTCTCCGAAATCTGTCCGAGATCGGCCCCCGCACCCGTCCCCGGCTTGCTTCTCACTGCTCCCCTGAGATCCGGGCGTCGCAATCTTTCAAGCCCGGCGGTCTCGCCCAGTCTCGGGCATACCCTCACGGACCGATCCTATTCAACAGATGCCGCCAAAAGATGACGTCGAGAAATCCAGTCGTGATCTTTCACGATGCTGTGCTTGTGTCCGCCACGCTGGACCTCAGATTTCGTCGAGCCGCGCCCCGCTGTGACGACGAGGGGCACCCACTCTCGAGGAGGGCGCCAACTACACACATACACGACCACCCTGCCCAGGCCCATCCTGAACCTGGGATCGGTGTACACGCCCTCCCAGCCTGGCCAGGAAGGCATACGCACCGATCCCACGGCCAATTTGGGCATGGCCAGGGCAGGATCAGTCAGCATCGGATCGGAGCACCGGACCGAATCGGCATGTGTGTCGGACCTGTCTGCATCGACACGGTGTCAAAATCGTATCGGGGCTCGCAAAAGAGCCACGCGAGCATCGGCATCAGGCCGCTTCGGATCGCTGGCAAATCGAAACCGAATCGGATCGAACCCAGCGAACTCGAGATCGAGCTGGATCGGCTGGACCGTTAAACAGACTCTCCACAGGGCCGGCGTGCAAAAGTGCACAGCTCCCGCAGCCAACTGGCCAGCTGGCCAGCAGCCCTGCGGGGAAGCCCCATGGGCGCGCGGGTGCCACTTACCCAGATATCCGACGCCGTTCTGTTTTCACAACGTGGCTCCCCACAGGTCTGGACCTTTTCCCCTGGTCTGGGTCTTCGTCCCGGGTCATGTCCTGATGGATCCAGGGCCTGGTGAAGGGCCCCCGGGAGCCGAAAATTACCAAAGGGCCTCTATCGCCGCGCTGGGGCTCACACCGCGCGGATGCCAGCGGTGCCTGGAGGCGCGCGCGCGCGCGGGCGCGCGCCTCTGCGTGGGCCGCCCAGGCCTGCGCCCGCAGGGCCACAGAGAGCCCCGCCTCAGGGGGGCCCGCGCGCCGCCGCAGCCCGCGCGTGCACGCGCGGCGCGCCGCCGCAGCGCGCCGCCGCGGCGCACGCTCGCCCCGCGCGCGGCCGGTCTCCGCCCGCCCCGGCCCAGGCCTCGGCCGGGCCGCCGAGGGGCCGCCCCGAGGCGGCCTCAACCTCAACGGATCCCCGCGGCCGCCTCTTGAGAGGCCGCCTCCGAGGCCGCCGTAGGCCTGGCCCCGAGGCCGCCGGCCGCCAGAGGCCTGGCGTTGAGGCCGCCCGACTCTGGGATCCTGGCCTTGCGATGTTGTCACAGAGGGCGTTTTCGCCGGGCTTCGGGCCCCGGGGGGCCCTCGCACATCGCTCTGGCTGGAAAAAGGGCGCAGAAAAGTGGGGTCTAGGCCTGTGGTCCTAAGTTTTCGCGATGTGGCAATCTTTCGCCAGGTCGGATCTCAGGGTCTCCCTGCGCCTTCCCGCGCCTGGCCGCGGCAAGGTGACGGAAGGCCTGTCGTCTGGCTTTCGGCCGCAGCCCCGACCTCCCTCGTCTTGGCCAACAGAAAGAATTGCAGATCATGTGTTCTTCCCTCTTCGGCCTCCAGGGCCGCTTTCGGGCGCTGGCTCTGGGGCTGTCCAAAAGCGATCCATGACGGAAAACTGGTCCCTGGGACGGGGTCGAGAGCTCCGGGGCCCCGTGGGGTTCTGCTTCAGTTGAAGGCCTCACGAGAAGGCGGGGTCGAGAGCTCGGGAGTCTCGACCCCGTGGTGCCGTCATGACGGCAAATGGACGGAAAGCGCTCTAAGACTCGCCACAGGGTGGGGGTCTGACACACGCCATGGCGTGCGCCTTGACTGGATCCCCCTTGCCCACGCTACAGCGAACACTTCTGGTACATCTCAATGTCATGCGAATTCACCTTCGAATTCAGAGACCCTGGACAACACATGCCCGAACCCGCACGAGCCGCACATCCCGCTCATAGTGCATGCAGGCGCCACGGCGCGGCAGACCCTTCTAATGGCAACATCCCCCTGCAACCCGAAATTTCCATGAACGGGCGGCATGACCATCACGAGTGATGAAACGACACTCGGCGAAACTAGCATCTGCTTTCTTGGGATGGATGTGGGCCACCAGTGAGGGCAGAGCCCGTCACGGCCGCACTTGCCAACCCCGTCGACAGGACGGCCTGCAAAAGTGAGCACCGATGTACTCAAGACGTGAGCGCAAGCCCGATATCTCCCAACCGACGGCCCCAGGACAGCCCAAGACAGCCCAAAATGAGCCCGCGTGGTCCCCGAGACGAGTCAAACACTGCACTATACGAGCCAAGGACGGCCCAAGATGAGCCAAACTAGATCAAGGACCCGTGGCGGTCACAAAATGCCCACACCTGTCCCACGGTGCTCCGAGCACGTGTCCATAAGGCCGTCCGCAATCCATTCGGAGGATCATGTGACCCAATAATATCCATGCCCTCGCGATCTGGAGGCCGAGCGCGATCACGCGGTCGCGTGGACACGTTCCGCTCGAGGCGTCCGCGCAGAGCTGCCTTGCATCCAGGGGGGCCGCTTTGCAAGATGCTGCGCCGGCGGGTCGTTTCAGCGGCAGTTGTTTTAACTGGGGACCTGTAGTAAGGGGCCCATTTTGGACTGCACTGGCGCGTGCTGGGGTAGGCTCTGGTTCATGTTGGACTCTGTGGGTGCTTTCTGAGAGGCAAGGAAATGGGAAAACGAAAATAGAAGACGTATGGCTTTAGAGTCGCAGCGTCTTGGGGTCATCCTGAGAGCATCTTCGGATAGGATGTGTGGATCGTCGTCTGTTGGCGCCAGCGTGTTGGCGCAGGCGGTACAATCACGGCCGACGCAGGCTGCGTGCTGTCTGTGGAGCTCAACGGACTAAACACACTGATCACCGAGAGGTGGTCGGCCGAGCACACGCCGGCGCTAACACATTTTTTCGCGTCGGCGGCTAGGCAGAGCAATGGCGCTGGCAGAAGAGGTTGGCGCTAACCCACGTCGTAAGAATCATCGACAGGTCCGCCGCTCGTGATCCGTTGCGCCCCCGCGCCTGGCAGCAACCCTGCGGCCGCGGGCCCTGCCAAGGACTCTGGCGGCGGCCGCGGGGACGGTGACAGACCCAGCTGCCGCCGCCAGTCGGCGCTGCCGTCAATCGCCGCCGCCGCCAGCCGCCGCCGCCGCCGCCGCCGACCGCCGCAGCCGTCGCCGTCGCGGTTCGTGGCCACCGCAGCAGTCACAGCCATCGCCACCGCCGCCGCCGCAGCAGTCGCCGACGCCGCCGTCACCGCCGTCGCCGCCGTCGTCGGGGGGTGTCAGGGTGGAGCGCCAGGCCCAGCAGCCGGCGCAGCCGCGCGCCCAGGCGAGACGCCGCCTCGTCGTGCAGGGGCGCGCCTCGATGGGGCGCGCCCTCGCTGCCCAGCAGGAGGGCGGATCAGACGGGATCGGCAGTCCGCAAAAAGTAAGCGGGTCTCACGCGAGAAGACACGTCGAGATTCCGCCGCGGCTTAAGCGGGCCGCTAGCGTGGCACGCCGCATGGAGAAGAGGAGCGCTCACGCGCGACCTTACGCGGGAAGCTTGCGCGCGAATGTCAGCGCAGTCGAACCCGTTTTCTTCCGTCTCTCAGATGGGGCCCAAGCAGATGGTGCCGGAGGATCGCACCAGATCACCGATGCGGTTCATCGGCGAGGTCAGGATGGAGAACGTCATGATCTGGATCGCTCCGCATCGCCGATGCGTCGGCGATGCGGTGCGGGGTCCACCGACCCCGTCTACCCAGGCCCCGCTCAGGCGGCCCAAGGCAAAAGGACACGTGGAGCCAGACCTCGTGGCCACCGCATCTTGACTGCAGATCGCTCGCGCACTGCCGCCATCTGCGGCTCAAGGCGAACTGATGAGCCCCACTGGCGAACCTACGGTGAGGAACTTTTGCATAGGGTGTCGCGGCGGCGGCCCGGCGACACGCCATGCCATGTGAGCTGATAGCGTGTGGCTCCGCTCTGCGGGGCGGAGGGCTCGGAACGGCTCGGGATGTTGACGCTTGGGGAC